ATAGGGCTGAAATTTCGCGCGCTCAGGAACGGCGAAATGACAAGTGATATAAAAAGAACGATATTCATAGGAGCACTTATATCACTTGTCATTTCGCCGTTCCTGAGCGCGCGAAATTTCAGCCCTATCATTTGTGGAAAATAATCGCTTCTAATTTAAAAACTATTATAGCCTCGACACTTTTGTATTAGGATTTTCGTCTGGAAATGTTCTGAGGAATCTGTCATTAAGAGGACCTCCGGTGGTTTTAGGACACCCTGTATACTCAAATTAACGCGTTCGTTGCTTTGTGTACACACAAGAATCTATAATCTTTTTAAAAGCATTCAATAATCTTACATTCCAACAATATCACAGTCTTATTTAAATACCACACTGAAAAAAATTTCTGGTTGAATATGGACGAATCAGATAATTCCTTTAGGATTTACCAGAATTTCTGTAGGATTACAGGAATTCTGGTAAATCCTAAAGGAATTATCTGATTCGTCCATATTCAACCAGAAATTTTTTTCAGTGCATAGTTGTCACTTCAAGAATGTATTTAATTATTTTGACAATAAAATCATTGTAATCGTTAAATTTCGATTTGAAAATATGTTATTTTCTATCCAATATTGTTTCCTTTCCATTCAAGAAAGTTATTCTGAGATAACAAGCTTAACTTTTCTTGATTGAATTACATAAATTGCTCTTTTCATTCAAGTAAGTTTTTCTCGCTTTAACGCATTATAATCTCATTTCACGATTTTTACGTTGAAACTAAACATATTTTCAAAAGAAGAACATTCTTTTTTTTCTGCGCAGAAGCATTGAAACGTTTTCATTTAACATCTGTTGTGCGAGTTCGTTTCGTGTACCCTTCAAAGCAGCCTTCATAAATTTACTAAATGAAGTTGAGGGCGAGATGCTTAATCTTCATTCGTTTGCGCGAAATAACTTGGACCCCTTCGAGAGTCAAAGTGGAGTGTCAGTCGTGCGGAAATGTCTCGCTCGGGTGGCCAGCACCCGGTCCGAAAATCACGATTGCCGACCCATCCTGATGCCGGCCGTGGTAACTGCGCCGCTGTCTTCACATTTGAGGAATATTGGGCGCGCTAAACGGGGACCGTGCGTTACCTGACAGCGCGCAACCACCAGTCGAGCGGTTCATTCGTCCCGTGGCGTCGCCGTGCTCCAATACGTCAGTCAGTGTTTGCTCGGCCGTCAGCGAAGACGACGAGCGACGCAACGCGAACGGCGAAAACACGTTTTGCAAGCGCCGCGGTAGAACAAGATCATCGCCGAGGATCGCGCGGAAACTCACGCGGATTTTAACTACGGCGCGGTGACGCTGCAAGAATATAACAGTGATGTAGTTCAGGCCTTATCGTAGGTTCAACTCGGATCTTTTTTCACGATAACAAGTGTCTTGACATTGACATTATTGCGATTTGGCTATGTTGAATATTTGCGAGAATAATTGCGATTTATCGTGCGTTTAAATTGCCTCTCACAATCAGCTCAAATCCGTCACTCGTGTTCACACGAAAGTATGATAGAAAAAAAACGCGTTGGTAATTTAGTAGAATTTTGAAAGTTTTTGGATGGTCTTTTATTTTTATTGCACAGAGAAAAAGAATATTTGAATGTCTAGTTTCAACGTGAAAATCTTGAAACGCGATTATATTGCGTTAAAGGAAGGAAAATTTACTTGAAGCAATTTTACATGATTTAATGAAGAAAAATATATGCTTATTATTGAAGAATAATTTTTTCGAATGGAAAGGAAACAATATTGGAAGATTATAATGTTTAAAACGATTTTATTGGTAATTTAGTAGAATTTTGAAAGTTTTTGGATGGTTTTTTAATTTTATTACACAGAAGAAAAGAATATTTGAATATCCAGTTTCAACGTGAAAATCTTGAAATGCGATTATATTGCGTTAAAGGAAGGAAAATTTACTTGGAGCAATTTTACACGATTTATTGAAGAAAAATATATGCTTATTATTTAAAAATAATTTTGTCGAATGGAAGGAAACAATATTGGAAGAGTATAATGATTAAATCGATTTTATTTTCACAATAATTACATGTATTCTTAAAAGTGACAATTATAGAATTTAAATAAGACTAATATTGTTGGAATGTAAGATTATTAAATGCTTCCAAGAAGATTACAGATTGTTGCGTATACACGAAACAATGAACGTGTTAATTTCAGTATATAAGAGCCGATCTGACACTTACGTTTTTTTCTGTGTACTTTCACAACTGTTCATTTACATATTTTCGCACAGACCGATTAACACGTTTCACAAGATTGTTTCCTCTTGCATATTTTTCGCCGTATTGCTTTTCTTCTGAAAAAAAACGCTCAATTATCACAGGCGATTGACACCGCGAAGGAAAATTCTCGACGGAAAGATTCAGCGCGACCGCAATCGTACTCGGCAGCCATCAATGGCATAAAATTGTTCGGTGGAAAAAAAACAACAGCGAAACCATTTGTTTCCGATCTCGGTCAATGACGTTTCGCCGACCAGCTGAGGAGCGTGTTGTTTTACTTGTTGTACAAACAGGTACGGGGATAACCGAGTGTAATAAGGTGTGCAAATTTATTCCGCATGGGACACCGGTAGAATAACGCTAGAAGTTTGTTGCGCGAAGGATCAGAAAGTCAAGATGATAACGGTACCGATAGCAGCCGCCAGTCCCTACAGGTCTTACAGCGACGGCAGTAAAGTCGCTAAAGTGCCCTTGGCGAGGGCACCGGAAGCTCATCCTCCGCCGAATGCGCAAGTATGTGTGCACCTTATTTATCGACCGCTACACTGTCGCGCGAATCGGCCGCGATCTTTTTTTTCTTTCGCGTTTAAATCACACCTGATTATCTCAGAGTTACGTAAATTTCGTAATTACATAAGCACACCTGTAATAGGTAATGAGGTAGCGTGTCTGTTCACTGGTCATTGATAGTTTTAACGAAACTGCATGCTGCGGCGAATCACTCGGTCATACGTGACCGCCAAAGTCGTTTACGTAATTTTATTCTCCACTCGCCTCGTCTCCGAAGTTACACGCAGACGAGGTAAACAGCTTCGGCGTTGTTTTGTCTTTTTATCAATACCAGACGTTATCGAGAGAGAGAGAGAGAGAGTGCAGCGAGTGCAATATTTTTAACGATGCCAATTGGCTTAAGTAGCAAGGTGGAAGCTTGGACACTTTTTTTTTCCCCCCTCGGAATTTCTTGCGTATCCTTTTAATTTAAGTGCGCGCCGTTTCTCCTCAATCCTGGAATGACTTCTTTTGCACTCTTAGAATTTTTATAACTTTTCTGAAATGGAATGTACGTCGCGAAAACGATTAGATGAACAATTACGTGGACAATCTTGTTTACTTGTATCCTTTATCCAGGACGCCAAGGAATTTCGCCGTAATTGCTGACGACATGCGCGGCAAAGGGTTAATTAAAGCTAACCCGGTGCCTCCGAGTGGAACGTGTCGCTTCGATACGTCACGGCGAATGACGGCGTTATTAATTTTCTTCATTGTGTATTCATCGCCTAGATTTCTTATCAGGGTATCTGCCGGCGATCATTATCGCACACTTCACCAACTTATCCCTGTTGCCGAAGATCGGTAATCGCTGTTTTCAAGTGGCACCGAAAGCCCATTCCGCTTTTCTCACCTCTCTTCGCTTCACTTCGCTCACTGCGTTTCTCGTATCCCAGCACGTGGCGACTGAAGAGGATCGCGAAGATAGCGCGTCACTGACGGAAACGTGCGTGCTACATCTTTCTTTCTTTCACCTCTTCGTTTTCGCGATGCGGCGAGTGCGGCGCAGAGAAATGTGCGCTGCGTAGTAAACAAACGTACGAAAAGATCCGAGTTGAAATCCACGAACACCACTGGTTTCTTCGGAATTTTCCAGTAACCACCGAGAGTGCCCTGCCACGCATATCCTTTTAGGGGTACAGCCCTCCAGATTGGAGGTTTCCTCCCCCAAGGAGAAGAAAAAGTCAGGATGATGTCGTTATGACATCAAATTGACGTCATCCTGACATTTTGTTCTCCTTGGGTCGGCAAGGTTAGCAGCCTATCGAAGATGAAGTAAATGCTCAAATTACCAGTTCGTTCTGGTACAGAACTGGTACAGAACGAACTGGATAAAACAAGCTTTTAAGCCTAACACGAGGCAGAAGTATTCGCGACTATAAGTAAACGTTAACGTCCACCTAGAGATTCGCGAAGAACGCGTCAAGATTTGCTGGGGCAATAATAGAGTGACAAAAAAAACCCATCCACTCAAAAGCCTAGTCTCTCGATTACGTTCTCTCGCTTCTGAATCGCTCGTCCCTTCTTCCTTTCCTTCCTTCCGCTTTGGCGGAAAGGCGTATTTTTGCGGGACCGAGCGTACAACGATCTAAATTTACATCGCCGGACAAACGTGAAATCCCAAGTCAGCCTGCCAGCAACCGTTGACTGACCGTATTCCGATTCCTTCGTGAGGAGCACGAAGGCTTCCACCGTCGAGACATTCCCGGCTGAATCGCCGGATTTCTCTCGATTGCATATTCATGCGCCGCGGCGTTTTCGGCGGAGAGAATGCGCGTTGGGAAATTTTTCAAGCTCCCCGTACCGATTTTGCTTTTATTCATAGACGAAATTCCCGGAAGGTCTGACCAAAGTCTGGGTCGAAGTCCCACTAGCTCGGGCCAAAGTTCCAGTAACACTTGAGGGTGGGGTGATTTTACGTAGACACGTAATCAGGAAAATTGGCAACGAATCTGCATACGCAAGCGCGAGGCATATGGAGCACATCCGTGTATACGAGTTCTGCGGAATCTGCTGTAAGCTTGGCAGTGAATCCTCTCGCCGCGATGTACATCGGGCTCAATTGTAATGAAGCTCTTATACGTTCGATCTTCCTTAGTGACGTTCGCTACGCTCGCACGTGTAACGAGCACGTACGCATATCGATGACCGTTGCGTCCGATAATTGCTACCCTGTTAGTCTAAGAACTCGCGTTAAGCTTTGCACGTATCAATTATTGGTAGCAACTGAAGCTGCATCTACCATCTACGTAATCGCATCCGTGATGAGAATTTAAGTGGCGATCTTCGTGCACGCCACTTGGGAACGCGGCAATAGTTGCGAACGAGATGATCTGGCGGTAAAATGACCCGATAATTGATTGATTGAAGTGTTTATTTATCGGCGATAGTTCTGGGCCATGTGGTCTCCTAGAAACGCAGTTCTATTACTATAACATACACTGAAAAAAATTTCTGGTTGAATATGGACGAATCAGATAATTCCTTTAGGATTTACCAGAATTCCTTTAGGATTTACCAGAATTTCTGTAGGATTCTGGTAAATCCTAAAGGAATTCTGGTAAATCCTAAAGGAATTATCTGATTCGTCCATATTCAACCAGAAATTTTTTTCAGTGTAGATAAAAAACATTGAACGGAACGCACGAAATTTCTAAATGGATCATCCGATCTTCTAGCGTGATCAATCCCTGCTCTTAAAAGTCAATCGGTGGATTATCACTGAAAACAGTGAATATTCACACACGGAAAGAATTTTCTCTCAAAATTTACCCTGAGTATCGTGTGATCGTGGGATAACGCGGCATTTTGAAGAACTTTGAGTTTTTAAAAATTTTACCATACATTTTACTAGTAAAATGTGCAATTACTATAAAAACAATTTACTAGTTTTACAAAACGTTTTACTAGTAAAATGTATGGTAAAATTTCCAAAACTCATGAAACTCTTCAAAATGCCACGTTGTCCCACGATTACATGATATTCAGGGTAAATTTTAAGAGAAAATTCTTTCCGTGCAGTCTATAAGTTCAATTCATTGCTGTACTTCTAACTGCGTTCAGTGATAACGCACTGATTGTCTTTTAGAGAGGTTTTCCCTCACGGATGCAATCCATGGAGATACGAATGGAAAGGGATTGCTGCGAAGGAGACTCGAAAATGGCAGAGGAAAGATGGAACGAAAGAGTGTTAAGAAACACTATAGTTTACATGCTAATACGTCTTTTCTTCTTGTTTCAATCTCGTCTTCACTGCGTATGCAGATGGCAGTGTGCGATGGTAGCCGACAAGTTTTTTTTTTTCCGCGATTACTCCGTGCTCTTCTGCACCGCCGGTCACGTACAACGATATATTGACGCAAGTTACGCGGGAGAATTTCTAGGAAATTCAATTATTTATACCTACGCGTCGAGAAAATACCGGTGTATTATGATATGTTTCTTCTTGGCGCGTATTTATTTTGTATCGTTTCGCGTGTCAATAATCATCCCGCTGGAATTGGCTTCCGAAGTCCATTCGAATTATTTACTGCTCCACTCCTTAAGCAGGAATTACGTAATATTAATTCTCGTTAATTTATTCAGAATTAATTTAACAAAAGAGAGATCCAGTTGCCCTTTCAGATTTTTTACCAGGTGACCTTTCAGATCCAGTTACGTCAAATCCAATTATAATTATTATACAAATAAAATTCATTAGGCTCTGACGTGAAATCACAAATATAAAATAATAAAGGATATAAGAGTCAAGACGGGATTGTTAGTGTCTAAATGGTTTTTAATAATTTTATAATTAATGATATTAAAAATCATTTAGACACTAACGTCTTCCTGCCTTGGCTCTTATATCCTTTGTTATTTTATATTTGTGATTTCACGTCAGAGTCTTATGAATTTTGACATTTGACTCCATTTTAATGATAGCCTGTCTTGGCTCTTGCTTCCTTTATTACGTCATATTTATAATTATTATGTATAAATTATACTATTTTTAATAGACGAAGCTAAAACTTTATGGGTTATATACGTACTTTCTTAGTACCCCGATGCAGCTCGTAAGTTATACAGTTTAGAAATGCAAACAAATTAATTGTCTTTTCTACATATGTACATAACGGTGTTGCAGTAACTTTAGAGGTTGCCTCCGATTTACATAAAAGCAATTTCGTGTTAAACGTGAATAATTTGAGGTTCGAAACAAAATTGTTCAAACATATTTCAGACATATTTCGCTGCGCTGAGTTAGCGTAAGATATTAGATTCTTACCGAGGATAATATTCGTGGAGCTTAAATAAACCTCGACCAGCTCGCAGGTGAAAGTTCAGCCGACACGAACGGATTAGGACTGGTCGCCTGCATAATTACATGAGATACGGAGAGCTATTATTTCCTTTAACACGCAAGATATTGTCAATAATCTCGAGTATCATCTGGTATCTTGCGCTATTTTGCGAGGGACGATTAAAAGAGTGAAGTTTCGGCTTTAATAATCGCCTTCGGCTAAAGTGACGCCTAATTTCCGATCATGATTGATCGTTGCTGACCAATATGAAATTCTATTTTCGGGGACGCCATTTTAATGATTGCCTGTCAATTTCAAGTGACACAGTTAACCCATTATCACTAATTATTAGTAATTGATACGTTGTTATTCTTCCCCTGCGTGCATTTACATAATCGTCGTGCTTTCAGCGCGACTACTAATGAGGCGTTATACAGCGCGAGGTCGCGCCTGAGAGAAAGACTATAACGCTTCTTTCTTGCGTCTCGACGTACGCCGTGGCAGATTTGCGCGAGGAATAAATTAGCTCCTCGCATTTCGATCCTTCTGCTATACATGATCGTTCGATATAGCGTACGAACTCTTCAGATGACAAAGCGTTGTTCGCGGCACACCAGCCGCAGTGGTCGTACGCGACGACAAAATGCGAATCGCGTAACGCTTTTAAGTCATACAGCGTAATTACGCGCGGGTACTTCCCCCCCCCCTCCCCTCCCGCGCTGCTCCTTGCAACGTAATGCATTTTGTATGTGGAGTCACGCCTGCGTAGTAAACCCAGAAATTTATGCTAAATCGAAATCTAGCGGGGCTAGCAAAAAGCTAAATCGATACAGATTCGACCTTAATAGTTTGCATAATCGTGTTTACTTGATTAAACACGTCCACGACAACAAGTGTGACGTAATTGGAATGAAAAATATACACCATCCCAAGTTATCTGCTTTATATCGGCTTAATATCGTCTAATTTATTGCACCCGCATCCTTTCTAGCTGCTTCTTATGCGCAACCTTGACGCACCCTTGTAATTTTTTATTCACCTTGTGTTAATAAAATGCGAATGGGACTAGTCTCCTCTTCGTAGTCTGTGAAAATGTTACATTAATTCTTACAAATGAGTAGGAAGATATTTCTTTTAATTACCGGCAACATCATTAAAATTTGAATATATACGTTTAACTTGGAGAATTCTTCCAATTGCTGTTAAGTTTATTTTACAGCGCATAAATACTTAAACCAACATTGCTAAAGTAAAAACGTATAACCTGATTGTTGAAGTAGAATTTATCTGAATAGAATTTATCAACTCCGCTAATCTAGGAGCTTAAGTCGCGATGACTTAAAAATTTCTGGATATTTTAAGTCAAGTTTGATTCTTGTGGATTCAAATTGTATCAACAAAATTGTCAAAGGTAATTTAAAACTTCAAATTAAACACAGATACAGCTGAAAATAATGCGTTATGCTTTATACTATCTGGTCGCGCCTTAGTAACATCGGATAATACGACCGTACAGCAACCAATTAAAATGCAATAATCTCAGGAAGAAATTACGTGGAATCGGAGCATGTCATTACATTATTAATTTATGTATTAAAAAATTAAGCGTCGAAGTGGACCCTTTTCGCAATCCACTCCTCTATTTGATCGAGTGAAAGATCGTGCGGGAGGCAAAGAAAAAAGTAAATTTTGTTTTTTCATACAATTTCGCGCAATTTGCATCACGCTCGTCCTTGGACGGGAATATATAGACGAACGGCCGGAGCTATCCTCGCGATCAAGTCTCAATTGAAACGAAACTCGGCTTCACGCACGCATTAAGTTTGCTCCCGCACGTGAATCTAATCGCCACGCTCGTGGCATCGATTCGTGGATCATCGGATGACGTATACGCCAACAAAATTTAATTCGATCAATTGGGATCGAAAGACAAAGTCGAACGTATGAGCCTCTACGCACGCGAAGTGCCAAGTGCCGGAGGAAAATAGCATCGGGAGAATAGTCCGACCGTCTATTTTCATCGCCCGGCGAATTGCTCTTATTGAGAAAAATATATGCGCGGCTTTTACAAAATTAAAATCGCAAGGCGTCATTCCAATTAAAAAAAAAAAATCTACGCGGTACACCGTAATGTCCGGACCGATTGATAAAACACCTATAAGTCGCATCGTAAGACTGTAGTTGCATTGTCGTATCAATTTTTATCCTTACTTTCTTCTCGTCTCGATGGATTAATTATTTCACGTTATCTGCACAACCGGAAAGTCCCTAGTGATGCGACGTCGAACATAATGAGAAGTTGACAAATAAATTCCGCGAAGGGCCCGCATCTATCGGATGCCAATAATATTGTACAACTTTGCGGAAGCACAGGAGGGACAAAGCACGTGCCTTAATTGGATACGAGAAGCCCCTCTGTTAACTAACTGCGTTCTTTCTATGTCACTAAGCAGACAAGCTTTCCCGGTATCCGGTCAAAATACTCGCGATGGTTACGGTAGTTCTTTGAATGAGTAATCGCACTCGCAGAAGACTCATCGTTACGTGGACACTCGGCGTTATCAGAGATTGTTATTATAAAAAGCCAAGTGTCTGCGTTAGTGTCATTATTGTATAACGAGCACAATGTTATCCCCGCATTGTCCTGTCGTTCGTAGTTTTCTTTCGCGTGCTTAACCGCGGGGAAACTCGTCAGGAAAATTATGTCGCTCTCGATCCCACGTTGAGAATGAGACTAACGACATCCAGTGTGAAAAAAAGTCACGTGGACTCAACGAAAAATCGGACTGATATGTGTCGGGGGAAGAGACTCGTCGGAGATTTCTGAAGTAAGAAATCTTGAAAGCATAGAAATTGCTGCAGACCGGAGCAGGGACATTTAACTGAACGCACAAAGAGGATCCCTTTAAATTCTGCAACGTTAATTTTCCTCGTCGTATGATTGTACTTGCCGTTAATTTTTGGGCAATCCCTAGATATTAATCGTGAGCCGTTTCTTTCTGCGACATCTAAATTAGATCTCCGGTAATCTCAAAATTTACTTCTCTTTCTCTCCTTTTTTTCTCTCTCTTTGTAATTTATTATAATTTTTTTGTTTCGGCGCACGCGTCGAATCTTTCGTTCTAGTGCAAAATTGAAGTATCTTTTCGGACGAGATCCGAAGCCACAAAGACGATGAACAGCACATGTGGAACGTGGGAAGAAATTAGAAGGAGAGAGAGAGAACTCTTTCGAAACAAAGACGGAGGATGAGAGCCATGCAGTCCGCGCGAGTGCTGCTGAAACAAGTTATTTCTGTCCACGGCCATCGGCCACGTTTGATGCACGTTTCCTTGCGAAATCCGTTTAGTATATCAATGGTCCCGTCGTAACGTTTTGTATCTCGGAATATTTCTAAATCGGACGCGCTTCCCGCGGGGGACATTCTCGCGAGGAGCAAATTGCAGAGCGCAAGGTTTTTGCGAAAGTTGCATTTCATTTGTAGCGAAGGATGATAAAAATTGTGAGAGTAAAAGCCACCAAAGCGATAACGAACATTTCGTTACTCTGAGTCACTCCTGTATAAATGAAGCAACGACGAGAGTGGACAAGATGGAAAGGGTTTTTTTAATTAGAAACTTAGCGACAATTAAACGCGCAAATATCTCGCGCCACGTATCACTTAGAAAAGAAATATATTCTGTTGTTAATTAATTTCAGTTGAAACAAACTCAGTTGTTTGTTTGCTGTTCTCCCTTTTGTGCTTTTCTCTCGCAATAACATTCTGATGATAATAAATTGCCTCCCCTCTGCGTCCCTTTCCTCCCCGTCTCGCTCTTAAATAGACGCGATTTTTGTACGAATTATGTAATCCCACGACGTTTGTTCCTCTTGCAGATTTGTAAAGACATGAAGGAACATTCGGCAGCCCAACGAATGGAGAGAGATAAGGACTTGCCACAGCGGTCGCAGAGCAGCGCGGCTAGCTTGACGTCTATAGGTGCCGATATATCTCCGAGTTCTTCCCAATTCTTCGAAGTGATTATCTCTTTTCTTACGTCCTTATTTTCCTTGTAATAGTACGATTATCTGACAAGATCTCATTATATGGAACTTGAATAAAACGACATTGCGGAAGTTCACTTGAAACTGAATTGAGAGAAAGATTTGGCCATTATCGGTCTTCGCTTACGTTTTGATCGCCGAAAACTTGGGAAGTTAACGGTATCTTGACATTTCCTTCCGCTTGAATTTCAGGTGTTCTACATCGGCAAAATCAAAGTATCACACCCGAAAGTACCGGAGTCGTTCATCGACGACGCCCTGATAAAGTTTCGCGTTCATGGACTCGAAAAATCGAGATCGTCAACGAGCAATCTTCTATCGGATTGCCAACGGCTGAAACGTCAAGCTTTGATGTCTTCCATTAATAGTAGGAGAAACAGTACGGTAAGAACGCGTTCTCAGCACTCAAGTAATTCCGTTTCGAGTGTTATAACGTTCGTGATGCGTCGAAATAGAAATAATATAACACTAATGTCTACTTCTACCAATGTGTAATTTTCAATCTCGGTTTAATTTACTTTCCATCTTTTTCAATTCTTAGAACTAAAAAAAAAAGATAAAAAGATCCCCATTCTTTATCTCTCGCCACTCGCTAATTTATTATTTTAGTAATTTGTACCGAAGAGAATCCAAAACGAGGAGCGAAACTATTTGAATTTTTTGTAAATTTAGAGCTTAATGTTTGACATCTTGTATATGCTTTAAAGCGTTATTTCAATTTTTTGTGATTTTCGGTTGTAATGTTTGACAACTTGTATATACTTTTAATTATGTATGCTATTTTTGACTCTCACATGCCTTAGTTTTTTTCTTCCCTTGTTTAAGATAAAAAGAAAATTAAACCGAGATTAAAGTTAATCTGCATTGTGACAGAAATGGATCTGAAAGCAATTTCGATTTTAGTACCACTAGTGTTCCTTTATGACGGATGCTGTGAAAAACATTTCTCGTACTTGTCTTTACAGTCACATAATCATCGCGAGCAAACAAATGAATGGATTTTTACCTACAAAAGAGGAGATACACCGTTACATTTTCAGGAATCTACCGCCAGTGAATCCGGCAGTATCGAGAACGTGTCGGGAAACGGTATAATTCCAAGCGTGAATCCGCTTGGAATACCGCCAGTTTTGAGCGGGTCCGTGGAGACTTTTCCAAGAGCGACCGCCAACCCCGCAGAAAACGATAATCATGATGAGAATCGGACGTCCGAATCTTCCGCTAATTCTAATATCACTGTACCTGAAATTATGCGAAACCGTGCAGCATCTACCGGCAGTGTTTTAAGTGGCAGAAGAGATTCTACCATTAAAGGAAACGATGACCACAATCGCACTATGGTTTTTCAGGTGCGGAATATAAAAGTATTTTTTTTATAGCATTTTGGTTTCATACTAATTATTCGACGAGCGTTATTAATATAAAACCACACATGCTGTGTTAATAATTAAACATAAAGGAGAAATTCAAAATGTAACATAAGATGTAAGTTGTATTTATATAATAGCAAAAAGGAAACGGAGAAGAAGCACATGTAATTTTTACGCTTATATTTGTAATACATAAATTTTATATTTTTTTAGGTAGGGCGATTCGATCTGAGATTGATTAGTCCTGACAGAAAGCAGATTCTTTTGCACAAACAATTAAAAGATGTAGCCAGTTGCGCACAAGGCGTGAGAAACCCCGAGCACTTTGGATTTATTTGCAAAGAATCAGATTACTTCATCGGATATGTCTTCAAATGCCAATCCGGATCAGTCGCGGATGACCTTGTTGCAGGCAAGATATTTTAGTTTATCTATGACACAGTAAGACTCAGGCACACTATTATTCTTCTTGTTAAAACTATAATTTATTATGCTAATAATAATTTTTTTATTTTTCTCTGCAGCGATTAGTCAAGCTTTTCTTACGACTTGCGACGTTGTAAGGAAGGAGAGATATCCTGTATTTTCTTGCGATCACTGTCCTATGTACTGGTATAATAAATTATGCCAAGAAATTGAAGGTAATGTATTTATACTGTAAAAATAGGGTGTACAATTTTTCGCTCAACTTTCTACACACATATCATTTTTAGGACAAAATGATAGAAGAGTGCAGAGTATTATCTTTTCCCGCATGGAACTATTGCCGGAGGACGAGCAGGAGATTGTTGTGAGCCAGTATAAAGGCGCCGAGGCTGCGGGCAACATTGGTGCAAGCTCCTCGAGTTTACGAGAGCAAAATCAATTCTTAATGCGACTATTGCGTGCTCATTGCGAGTCAAAGCAAGCTAGACATGTACATGATACGGCTGAGAATAGGTAATACAGCATAAACGCAGAGTGTATATACCTGTATAAATGTTCCATTAGTATCGAAATATTTTTTCCGAATGCGAAGCGTTCTGACACAATTGTTTTACATTGCAGGAGTGAATTTCTCAATCAATATCTAAGCGTAGGCGTTGGTAGCACGATATTTATGAAAGCAAAACGCTCTCTTACAAATAGCTTCGACAATCTTATGAAGAGAAAAGGTTCGCGTGACGAATTTGGCCTTGGTCCGCAATTGAGGGATACGAATCACTTAAATACGGGAATACTTAAGAATGACGGTCATAGTCCAGATAATTCGCGACAACCGTCTATATTGGACATTTCGCCGGAATCCAGTAGACCGAGATCGTTGCGTGTTTCGCCCGAACAGCAAATAGTTGTAAATAACGGGCCAAAGAGTTCCATGATGGACATGTTAGTATAAATTTTATTGTACTTAATTTTTTGTTAGTATTTCTTATCGCCTATTGCTTTATGCGGTTGTTATATTTTTTCGCAGCTTTTTAAAAGTTGGCAATTCACCGAAAACGTCCCCTACGGAGATTGATGGGAATAACACGATACAAGCCAATAGTTCGTGGCGGCAAACGATATTAAACAGAGTTGTGACGCCGAATAAAGATCATAACGCTACAGAAATTGAAAAGATCAATATTCTCAAGAATTCGGCAACGCCTGTTAAACGGAGATCAAAACAAGAATTACGAGATTTGTGGAAGAAAGCGATCAATCAACAGCTGATACTTATAAGAATGGAAAAGGAGAACGCGAAGCTTAGAGGTAAAAAGCCCTGTATCTGAAAATACGTTTAAGATATTTAATGCGATATTCGTGTTGTCTAAATTTCCTGATAAAATGTCAGAACGTCAAGAGGAGGCAACGGTAAAGAGGATCAAACTCGAATACGACGAGCTTAGTAGCTGTGCGCGTGAAGTGATAGAAGTTTGGGATCTTCTTGTTAGCAAGGAATCGCGAGTCTCTACGAAATGTGATAATCAAATGCTTTTACATGCTATTAAGCAAGGTAACGAGAAATGAAAATACATCTCGGTCGAGCATAATATTTCTGAAATTTGACAATATTAAAAAAAATCTTTTTATGCATAATGAATTCTTTTCAATATAGGCGTACCGAAAGGAAAAAGAGGTGAGGTTTGGCAGTTTCTAGCCGAGCAATTCTGCTTGAAGCAACCGCCTATAGACACTCAAGAATTTCCAAATTATAATACACCCTATGAACTTCTCCTGAAGCAACTCACGTCTCAACAGCATGCTATCCTTATTGATTTGGGAAGAACTTTTCCAAGCCATCCGTATTTTAGTTCCCCCTTGGGACCTGGTCAATTAGCACTCTTCAATTTATTAAAGGCCTACTCCTTGCTAGATCACGAAGTCGGTTATTGTCAGGGCCTCAGTTTTGTCGCCGGAGTGCTTCTATTGCATGTGAGTGCAATTTTAAGTTTTATATTACTCTTTCCAATAATTTATCCAAGAATTTATTGAATAATTTTACAATTTTACATTCCGTTCTACAATAATCAATTTTTCATACGAAATATTATTTCTTAATTTTTTTTATTAGATGGCGGAGGATCAAGCCTTTTTCTTATTGCGGCATCTAATGTTTCGCCGAGGACTCAGAAAATTGTACTTACCAGATATGGCGGCATTGCAATTACACTTGTATCAACTCTCTAGGCTGTTACACGATCGCTTGCCAGCTATTTACAATCATTTCGACAAACATGAAGTTTCACCTACTTTATATGCTGCTCCGTGGTTACTGACGCTGTTTTCCAGTCAATTTCCTTTAGGTTTTGTAACCAGAGTTTTTGGTAAGATTTCATTTACCTATTAATATTAATAAATATTCATTTACCTATAAGATATATTTATATGTACTTAATTTATGCTTGTGATACAATTCATTTTGCTTCTATAGATTTGCTTTTTCTGGAAAGCTCCGAAGTCCTTTTTCGTGTGTCAGTCGCATTACTAGAAGAACATCAAGATCAATTGTTATGTTGCGACAGCTTTGAAGAAATTATGGAGTACCTCAAGGTAAAGTTATAATATTCCAATCCTTTATCATCAAAAGAAATAAGAAATGAAAGAATGAACTCGAATAAATATTATTTCATTATATTTCTATTCGTAATTCTAGATACGTGTGCCAGCGATAGACAAACAAAGCTTAGATCGCATAATGAAACGCGTATTTTATCCCGACTTGGAGATTACAAAACAATTGAACGAGTACAGAGTAGAATACCAAGTGCTCCAAGAGGAAATGTTATCGGTGAAGCCACAAATGGAGAATTTGGAAAAGTTTAAATTAAGAAATAAGCAACTTACGCAAGAAGTTGCACAGCTTGGCGAACAACTTGAGGTAGTTTATTTATTAAAAACATTTATCAAATATTATTGTAGAGACTCTCGGTACATGCATCTTAGATTCACAGTTTTTAAGTAATGATAATTACATTACACATTTATTCAGTAATTAACAGGCATATTACCGATATTAAAATGCCAAGCAAAGTAGAGTAATCGCAGTTAAATATATGAAAAATTATAGATTATGAAATATGAAGACAAATTTTAAAATTACTTTTAGATATAATTTTCCATATATTGAACCTAGATTTTACAATAAATGTACCTCATTTTTACGTATTATTATATATTACTTCTTTAATTCTCTTCCCTCTGCTATTGTTACAATACTGGCATTACATTACAGATTACTATGAGCAACTTGCACAGGCTCGAAACAGCGCGTTCAATGCAACAAGCGACTGTCTACAAACTTGAGTCTCAGAATCGCAGTCTTGAGGTAACGGTAGCAACATTAGGCGCGTTCATTCAGCAATTAGCGGATACACGTGCCGATATCGAAGTCCCGGGTGAAGTTCGCAGAATAATCGCACAACTGAGTATGGTCGAAAAACGACGTAATGCTGGTACCAAATCATACCCTTTAAAAATCATCGAGGACAACAAACACGGAATGATAAAAAGTAATTCGACTGGAAGAGAATCTCAAAATCTTTTACGAAATAATAGCATGGACACACCGTTTCCTCTGAAGCCGACTTTGAGCCAACCCAATTTAGCAACGAAATTAGAGAAAGTCTCGTCGTTCTTTTCGAACTCGCACAATCACATACAGAGGCAACGCGCGCAATTAGCGGCTCTTAGAGACGAGTATTCGGAGCAAGCGGTAAGACGTAACAACGACGAGAATGATCCTAAAACAGTCAACATCGACATTCAAATTACGGATACTATGAATCTGGCAAACAATCCGGCCCCACAGGAGGAAAAGAATTTAAAAGTTCCAGCTACCAACTTGGAGAAATCAATATCGTTACCATTGAAACTCAAATTAAAATCGTCCAAGTCAGCATATGAATTAGGCTCTGTAAAAAAGGTTCCCACTAGCAAACTCGAAGTTACAAACAACGATTCATTAACAAATTTGACAGGAACCATACATCCACTTGATACTTGTAGCGATGTAAATTTCCGATTCAGCGGAACCACGAAACTGAAATCTATCAAACCTGTGAAATCTAGTCAGAGTTGCCAGGAAGATGGTAGTAACAAACAGAAGTCCGAACAGAACGCCGATCCTTTAAACAGATAACAATTACTTTCAAATACGTCTTCAAAGAGCATCTTATCGAAAAGAATTTTCATAAAAAATATATACTTGAAACGATACTGGTAATGAATAGCTTAAAGATTGCACTCTTTATACTTGACTATTTATTACCCTGTTTTTGAACAGGCAAGTTTTTAAATTGGCTAATTTATGTACGAGAGAGAAATTGAGAGAAAAATTCTTCTTGATTCTCGTTCAGATCTGACATTTGGCAATACATTACAAATTATGAGAGCAAAATAGTCTACTGAAACAATGTTGAACGTTATATTTGGAAATCTCGCACATGAAGGTATATAATTGATTAAAAATGTTATTTTCAAATATTTAAAACCATACGTAGAGATGCGCCAAATATTCAGACAGATATCAAAATAAGGTATTAAAAAGACACCGGTGACTATCATATTTCAGATTGCCAAAGGAAGTGCCAAACTTTCTCTGTGTTAGAATATATTTTGTAGTAAGATAAAAATGATTTTAATTACTTAGAAAGATGAGTACGTATGTACATAGACAGATACATATATTGCATATATGTATATTTATGCGTAGATGTCCGGTTGCATCATTGAAAAAAAATATATTGACAAAAACCATTAATATATAGGCTGCTATGCACTGTAAGATTCAAAGAACTAAGTATTACTATTTTTGCACAAAACGAGCCTTGTGATATCAGGGATAGTTAACATACATACATACATACATATATATATATATACATATACTCTTTGTTCTTTATAGTAAAGTTTTACCATCGTTGATACATGTGACAGTAGCGATATTTAACATCCATATCAAACGTGTTATAAATTAGAGAATAGATAACTCAATCTCTAAAGAGATATCCAATATTGACATTTTAACGGATATTAATGTGTAATAGAGGTATACGTAAAGATGACAAAATTATATTTTGTAGTATTCGGGTCTCTGTAATATTTTATCAGGTAGTTATTATATATACATAATTGTAGTGACATATTATTTGTAATGAGATAATGCAAGTATATAATCATATAACAGAAATAAAGATATTCTGTATGTAATTGTTCTTGTTATCATAGATATATTAGAATAGATCACATTTTGTATTTAGTATTGTGAACTAAAAAATATTTCATAGGTTTTTAATGATGTTTTGTTGACTTTTTAATCTTATTGTGATGATAGATAAAAATATTGAAAATATTCAATAAAAATTACTAATTTGAATAATTAGCATTTTAATTTTCTTAAGTAATAATAAATTTTAAGAAATGATGCATATTTTAAAAAGTAATGAAAGAATCACTTTGCATCTATATTCGTGAAATAAATTTTTACTTATTTCTTTCTTTTAACAATTGAAGTCTTTGTTACATGTTTTCATTCCTATATTAATTTTATTTAAAAATTAAATTAATTATGTATATGGAAATTAAATTAAAAATTATGTATATGGAACATATGATTTAATCAAGATAAACTTGGAGAAGGTGGATCGCCAGTGGGTGAAGAAAAATAACAAAGAATGATGATGTCGACGATAACTGGCACATATGTTTATTTAAAACACTACGTTTCGACTAGTAATACTAGTCCTTTTCAAGTAATAGCCCATTAAATGTGGCAGCAAGAAATCTATAAATTATAAATTAAGTGTTCGGAAATGTATTAAGATATTATCGCACAGAGAAAACAACTTAATACTTACGGGTGACATATTGAGCGTACGCTTTATAAAGAAAAAGGCGCAGTAAATTAATATGCACATGTTACTTCACTCGTGTATCTATGAAGTACGTTTTATTATATAAAGTAATCTATAAAATTATTATTTTTGCTGTTACTTTTCCAGTGATACATTACAGTCAAATAAACTACGCAGGCGCAGAACTGATTGATTTTGAATCATGCTGAGTACTTATCATGTGCTCGTGGTTTCATTAATTGAAAAAAAAAAAACGTAATTTCCTTTTTATTCCTAGTTAATGATCTTCGTATTAAATTGTGAGTTCAACCTTTATTTCCAGATGCTACATTATACATGTATTATATATACAATTTTCATCCTTGTATGTGTTATTATTCTTTAATGCTTTGTTTTAGCTATACTAGTCCTGCAAAAAAATTATTATTGATTAAATGCATTATTCTATTTTATAATAATTATAATAAAAATTGTGGAAAAAATATCAGTATACATATATATATTTAAAATACTGACGCATTAAAAAATTCTAAATTTATTTAAAAATAAATTGTGTATTCTTACGTTTGCATCTGTTTACTGCCACTGAGCACTATATATGGTGATTGTGTCTCTTTTTGTTTCGCTTGCAATAAATTTAATGTACCTAAAGGCGTGTCTGTTGAAGACATTCGTTTCATTAAAACTTCTTGTTCCGCCTTCTTCATTCTTTTCTCCACCTAAAATGTTGGAAAATCATTATGACCTCAAATGATGACTTTGAAATAATGTTGCTACCTGGTAAGTATTCGTATAAATGCAATATTCTAATCTCAATGTAATCTAATATAAAAACCTTATTTTTTCCTGGGCCTTTCCCATGGAATTTATGCGATAGATATCGGAAAGCTTCCTTGGCGCACAAGACATGTCCATCATCATCGATATACTCAAGTTTAACGTTTGGTTTGAAACCTTCTTTTTCCTTAAAATCGGACGTCGGTCCGTTAAAGCGATCTCTTCTGCCGAACTTGTCATCATCTCTAAAATAAAAATAATACATGACCGAGTAAATAAAATACACATCTCCCATTACGAGCTTTTTATAAAATTCAAGTCAGTTTTCATCAAAGGTATTAGTTAAATGCATTATGTTATTGTCTTATCTAACTAAGTTCTGATGTTACAGAAGTAAGAATAAAATTAAAGCCCTTGAAATGCGGTGTTCTGAAACTTGTGTCCACTACCAGTATAAACAAGTCTTTAGGAAGAACAACGCTTGTGAATCTTCAAGATGTATTACATTATGCGATTAAATTAATTTTTAAGGTATGTTATTTAAATTCTACGTTAGCTATCATTTAATATATTTTTTAATGTAGACAAATTGTATTCTACGTTATATATTAACATAAAAATCAATATTAAAGTTTATGCATATAAAGATATAAATAAGTAAGTACTTTCTTTTGCTCTTTCATTATTTTTATATTCATTTACAATTCCAGTGCGCCCGAAAATGTTAAACATTTTCGATATCTGAGACGAGCACAGAGCGTATGGCCGTGTAAAATTATCCGTCATATTGGTCTGTATTAAATACATGCAAGCCTTTCGTAGAAAACGATTATAGCCACGAAATACAGAGACGAGAAGCGAATCTTTTCTGAACCTCTATTTTGACGCTGGCTTATTCTGCAATCTTCTCTCTCTAATCATCTGGCACTCGATTCTGTCCACGAGCGGAAACTCGTCTAGAATTTTAGAACGATTCGCAGCAACGGAATCGCATAACATAAACATACCTTAACAAATCCTACTCTCTTCTCGGGCCTTGTGTTCACCTCCGATTAAGCGGTAAACTCTCGTAGTGTGGTAGCGGATCACCCGTTCCGAGCACCGAATTTTCTGGGCTCTATTTAAAACTGTTAAACTGACAGTTTGAAATTCACTAGAGGCTTGTCTAACACAATATTTGTGGGGGCGCATTCGACATAAGAAACATTTCTTACGTGTTTCCTCCCCGCGCGACACATAATTGAAACACGTAAGATATCATCGTACGTCGAATCGCGGTAATATGAAGCTCACTTACCCGTATGTTTTGTCCTCTATCGAATAATTCTGAGCTTGTAGATGGGCGAAGCGCGACGCCGAAGGGCGATTGCTGTCCCCTTTCTGCAAGTAACCTTTACTCATAGCTAACATTAAAGCACCACCTACCCCGTGGCCGAGTGACGGCTCGGCGTCTAAAATTGCCGCCTCCATTACAACCGGTTCCGTGGTGTTCTCATCTATTTACATAAAATTTAATAACATTTAATAAAGAAAAACGTAATTACGTAAAGATGCCTCTATCAAGAGTACATTATGAGCCGTAAGACTGCATTATCGATCTGTTTCCTCTTCGTAACAAAGAGAATAATCTTATAAGGAAAACTACATCAGTTTTTATATAAAGTTAATCTCCACCGATATGCGAAATACCTAGATGCACCGCGTTCCAGGCACCGCGGCCATCGTCCTCCTCTTCGTTTGCAGGTGGTTCATCTTTAATTTCATCCATTTCAAAATCCTACAACATTTATATCACATTATAAATGCCATATATTCTATCATAGCCAATAATGAGTTTTGTTTAGTGTACCATAAGCTCTTGTCCATTTTCCTCTCTATTTCCAGCGAGTCCGTAAGTGGGTATATCTCCCAAGGTTCTACAAAATTCTGCAGTAGAATTGAGAACGATATTTCCAGCTTGATTGTCCTCGAGGCTAAGCATTTCTTGCTTTATTGTTTCAACGGTTTTCTGGATGTCAGTCAAATGACCCTCCTTCAAACGCTGAGTCTTTTTCAAAGCCATTTGCAACTCCAATTCCTTCTCGTCTTCTTCGAGCTTTATCCCAGTAAGATCTTCCGTAGGAGCTGTTTACAATAATTTTAATTAATCAAATAAATAATTTATATACATAAATTACATAAATTTAAGGACACAAATTATATGATTTAATAATGTACTGAAAGTAATTCCAGCGAATAACTTGCTATTAAGTCATTTTTATAAATATATTTATAGATGTCTAATATTCAAATAGTTTCAACTAGTCTCGAATTTTTACAAAATTATATAAATATCTTTATCAAGTACCTTCTAAGTCATCGACATCCAAAGCATCGTTATCCTTCAGATCTTCTGGTTTCTTTCTTCTCCTGCTTCCAAGATCCCTGAGGTAATCATTGTCCACAGGAACTAAATCATCAGCTTTTAATTTCTTTTTTGTTCTCATTTTTCGAATCTATAATCATATTATATATTATTTTACCTATATTATTGCAGACATTATATATTTTAAAAATAAATTATGAACACAAAATGTTTCATATATAAAACTGCACCAGGTAACTACATTTAAATAATATTCATCTACTGCGTATATAAACACGTTAGAAAACAATGTTCCACCTTCTTCTTTGGCTTCTTGAACTTGGCAAGTTCCTCTTCATTGTAATATTCACTCGCCAATTTCGGCTCTGCCATTTGTAGCGTTTCAATTTTTTTATTCGCCAAACGTTGCTTCACCGTCTCTATCTGACGTCGTTTAAACTCTACCGCATTATTTGTACCCAACACAAAATTGTCTTTCTTCTCGCCGTCGATTTCCTCGTCATACTTTTCTAAAATCTTATTCTTAGAGAACCCATATTCGTCAAAATTTTCCTCGTCGTATGGATCGTACGTAGGTTTTTTGAGTTTATTCAAAACGCTACGCTTGTAGCGTTCATTGTCAATCATGTTCACATTTACAAGTAAATCACCATTTTCATTTAGTACTTCTTGATCCTTCAACGTTAAAATTACAGTTCTGCCTTCCTCAAGTGTCTCCTGCAAAATATTTCCTGCTTAGAAGTTATTACAATTCGAAAAGTTCTTTATTTATGTGCGTTATGCAGAAATCCTGAGGGAGATTATATAATAATTAATAGCATCTCATATTGTTATACACTTACAATATCGTGCTCGACTTTAAGGCCTTTTAAATCTTTCTCTGTGTATGCGGCGTTGCGAGCAGTATGTATTTCCTCTTTAACTAAATTACCGATTCCAAATTCTTCATCCAATTGATCCAGCATCTTTGCCTTAAATTAAAATTAAGTACTTTTAAAGAATCCGCAGCAAAATACGCGAACTTCACTAAAATTATTTTATTATATATATATATGTTTATGGTTGTGATCCACTTGACTGTAACTGCTTCAAGGTGGTTCTCCTCTCCTTCTTTCCTTATTAAAGGAAGAATGTCTCGAAGTATTTGTTTCAAGTGGTAGAGGAAAATCCTCCATTAAGAGATAGACCTCTAATATAAGTTTTCAACACCCAAATTCAATTATAAATCTTTTTTCGCAACGATTATGCGATTTAACAATAAATTTTCCGCTAAACACGTTACATTACACGAGCGATAAATTCATGATGGAATCAAGAGACAATAATGCCTATTAATTTAGCGGAAACTCCGCAATCTCATATTAAGAGCCTGTCTCATAATAGGGGACTTTTCTCAATATATATAATATACAGTGATTTGACCTAAAATATGTATGTGCTACGTAAGAATAAAGATATCAGGAAATAAATATAAGGACATTACTCTCATCTCTGCCTTCTTCTTCTCTACCTCTCGCTGTCTAGACTTGTGGATCCATGCCTGGGTGTCGTCGTCCGAGTCGTATTCTCCCAGATTTCTCATTTTCGACAAGCACGCCTCAATTTGTCTCTTCTCCTTTTGTATACCTATCTTCTCTCTCAGCTTCTGCGCCTTCATCTTATCACTGTTGTTTGGAGCAGGTTTATGATAAAACTCGCCCAGATCGTCCTTGATCTTGCTCGGATCGTCCTTGGACGTAGTATCCAACTCCAATGGTTTTAATCCCAACTTTGCACGGAGCTTGTTGGTTTCTTCGATGGACAATGAGGCTTGCGACGCCCCGCCCTTAGCGGGGGACGGACTCCGCTGTTTGGAGATCTCAGGCGGCGGAGGTGTCGACGGGTGCGAAGATTTTGATATTTTTGGTGGCGGCGGGGCGTTAACGATCTCAACTGGAAATGGAGGAAAAGCAATCTTATTCCGCCTATACTTGTGCACGAATGTTAGTTTTATCTCCTATATAATTGTATGTAGATGTAATTTTTATAATTGTGTACAATCTCCTGTAATATACATGTATCCATCCTCCCATAATACATATATGTAAATGAGGAATACTGCCGGATTCTCTCACCATCGCTGTCGTAGTCCTTGCGCTCTTTCCTCCTATGTTTCTTATGGTGCCTGTGCTTCTCAGACTTGTCGCGGTCGGGCGTGTAGCTCCTGGAGCGGCTGCGATGACGCTTCTTCTTGGCATCGCGAGACTTTTCGGTTTTATGACGTTTGTTGGAACCCATGTCGGCGCTCCCGATTTAACACCACCGTGGAACCTATTGGCTACGCAGTGACTCGCGACTATGCTACGTATTGCTCTCGCTGGCCAAATCGTCGACAATATCGGATCCGGAACTCGCACGATCGATAGCAGCAACCCACGGGGCTGTGTCAATTTACTTGCTCTCGCTTAGAATTGTACGCGTATCCACCATTAAAATATACGTGCTTTTCTGCGCACGCGTGCGATAGAAAAGAGAGGGAACCGATGAAGAGAGGGATTCAGGCATGGAGTCTGTGGAGTCTGTGTAAGACCGAACTAGGCTTGATTACGTCACCGAACGTGGGCCAACCACAGCATGGTAGGACGTGGCGACCACTGAAATATATACTAACTGGAACGCGCGCTAGAGCCGAGCCGTGTGTACCGAGAGAGAGCATCGTCGAGTGTCCTTTGTCATTGTCTAGTACAGTTCGAACCAAAAGTTATCTCGAAGCGCAGCACAACTGCGCGAGATCGTGTAACCTCTGACAACGAGCTAATTTCTCGATCGGACTGTACCTTTCCGTCCCCACTCTCGACCACCCTATAAGCCAGACAATGACAAAGACCACTCGACGATGCTCTCTCTCGGTACACACGGCTCGGCTCTAGCGCGCGTTCCAGTTAGTATATATTTCAGTGGTGGCGACCGTGGACGTGGCCATGTTGAATCCAGATGGAGCCAGGAGCCAATAATTTAATAAGAAGAAGACAGACTTCTAACTGTGTATACAGAAGTCTGTGGGCGCGGAAGAGGGTACCCTTCATTCAGCCGTCAGCTCCGTGTCAGTTGTGTGAAGTGAACGCAATTAGTAGCGCGACAATCGACTGCAAATACGTTGCGTTCAATGTGAATACACAATATTTACAATCTCTTTCGTGCCGAATTTCTCACGATGACGTCGATAACGATCCTGTCCAACGAATTAATCGAAATCATCCTGAAGGAGAAGGCCGTTAGCATCAAAGATGTCGTGAACTTCGGTGCGACGTGCTCGCGATTTCTCGCGGTGGTCAACGACGACAACCTGTTGTGGCAGAGGAAGCTCTATCAAAGGTAATCTCGCCATTTTCGTGAGACTTTTATCGCGATCTCGACTAGTTCGTTATGCGGATTCAGCGACAGGCACGTCGTAAACACGTGATCCCTCGTGTTTACTCGTGTGACTCATTGTTTATTCCTTGAATATACTCTACGTCAGATTACTCCGGCCGCTGTTGCCTTCTGATTATCTTGTCATTAAAATCGAGGACGAGCGTGACGATCCAATGTTATAAACAAATAGAAGATTAGTGTTAAACTAGGCCAGAAACGATTACGTCTGATTGCGTCGTGTTATGCCATTAGCTACGCCATAGTATATAGTTGTACTGCGATTGCATCCAATTATATCGTGCAGTGCCGAATAAAAGAACAAATTGGGCACAAAGTGTTTGCATTAATAAATATTGATATTAGAAATATTACGTTTGTACGAACGAGTGGTTTCTCGAGTCGCAATGCTCTCTAACCTCTTAGTAAATTTGTTGTACGTGTTTTTTTTTGTCAGACTTTTTTTATAGACGGAAACAGGTGATTGTAACAACCATACGATCGCAATAACACGAGGGGGAAACCGCTGATCAAAATGTTGTACACCAATGCCCACTAATGCCCAGTGGTTTCCCCCTCGCAATAACAGAAAGAAGTCACTTTGAATAAGTTTTGCATTTAAAATGTCAACGAAGAATAATGACGAGAATTACATAATTACATAGACATGCGTTACAAAATAATATATGTATATATTATTCCTTATAACATTGTTGAAAGTAACGTAGAGTATTTTTTGGGTTTTGATTAGGTGGCCTTATTTCAAGAAAATTTATGACAAACGAATACAAAATAAAGAGGACATCAGTTTTAAGGACGACGTAAAGGAGAACGTGAAATGTAGAAATGAATTGCGGTGTTACTTATTACAGATGTCTGACACGCTCTTTCACAAACACGACCTAGCGAACGTCGATCTGGAACATTTTGATGTTCTGTTTTGTCCAAGTATGGGTGTGCACACTATGAGATATTATTTCCTCGTGGACGAGTTATTGTGTCTAATTGCAATGTCCCCGTAAGACTTGACAAATTATTACTATTGCAAACAAATGTATGAATTGATTGGGCAATTAAAGTGCATATACCTTTCAGATCACCCGACTGTAACTTGACATATAAATATTACGGCGAGAAACTTCTTCCATTTGTACATCAGTCTTATCTGAAGGATGTATGGCAGAAATTTAAAAATAGTCCCAAAGAACAGCAACTTTTAGAACAGGCAGCTTTTATTATATCACAATGGTATCAGCCTCTGAAACGTATTTTGTATTTGGACGTGGAAGCATCGCTGGACAGTATCGCGCATCAGGTATTGGAGAGCCTTAAGGACAAGCATTGTGACCATCCAATATTCTCAACGCCCGCCAAGCAGTTTGCTTTTTGGAAATGCAACAACATCAACGATAATCAATGGAGCGCGCAGAACGAAAGGCATATTATAGACGAACTTAGAACGGTTTTATTTGACAAATTAGGTTTTTGTGGACGTGTAGATCCAGATTGTACTATGGAGCATGTTCTCTATCCTGAAGCAGAGCATTTTCTTATAGATTGCGTAAGTTATAAATTATGATATTTTATTAATTACATTATGAGCATATTTTTGTACTGATGCCGTTATACCACAAATGTTAATCTTTATATTATAATTTGTAACACATAGGTTTTAGAAACCAAAGTTGGTAGTGCTATGTCTCTCGCGATAATATTCCAGAGCGTAGCAAGGAGACTTGGTGTACGCTGCGATCTAGTATGTTTTCCTACTCACTTTTTTTTAAGTTGGAAACCGAAGTGGTAAGCATAATTCTGTAGCGTTAAGAGCATCTCGTTTTTCCAAATTTATATCGTTCAAATTCGTATATGCCTATGTTATCGCGTGTATGTACACTGTACATGGTTTGATGAGGATATACAGTATGCATACGTGTACGCGTATATGTGGACTACATACATTTTTTTTTATTGTAGCGATACAGAAAATCCTGAAGCTGAAAAATATTTTTACATTGATGTCCTATGCCGTGGAATCATTCGAGATAAAAATGATTGTCCCAAAACTCGTGGTAGAAAATGTCCCATAGAAAGTTTTAATAAACATAACGAGATTAGTTCTACAGGGGTAATTACTTATAAATATTTTGTTGAATTTAGAAATACATGAAAATATTAGATAATGATCAGTCGCAGGTAATAACCAAGATGTGTCAACACATTATGAAACATGTTTCATGTGTTGAAGAAAGTAACAGTCTTTTTTTATTTAGTTTCTTAGTTTTGTACTCTTAACTTTATTAAATGTCTAAGCTTTGTTTTAAGGTGGTATTGCGGATGATTAACTCTTTGCAAATGGTTAATAACCGCCAACATTATCAACTTAGGACTCTGCAAATACGTACATTGATGGAATTACGGCATATGATACAATCGCGTAATGTAGAAACGATCGAAAATCTATGTCGCTGTTACATACGGTTTCACATAAATCCCTCAAGTCTCGTATCCACATTACAGGGTTTACTGGTGCGTACAAATTTAGTTTATCTATTGATAAATGAATTCTAAGATTCTTATAAACAAATTCTCATAAAATTTTTGCATTTTTTGGTAAAATTGCTTTTATTGTAATATAGTAAGAAATAAATATTGGTACGAGTAAAGTATTTCGATACTTCTTTCAGTTTCCTGTATATTTGTTGCATAAGCAAACTAAGAATTTCTATATATTAATTTTCTTATATTTTTGTTTTCAAAGTAACTGTATAAGATGTGTGCTTAAGTAAACTTTATCTTATTTACACAGAATGGCCCCAACTCCATAACATCTGTGGAAGCAAATCGTGCTGAAATGTTATTAAGGGCATTTGAATTATATATACACAGTGATGTAAGTAATAATAATTTATTATCAAAAATATCCAATTTACGTGTTTTCATATTGCTTGACTGTTTTTAAGGCTGTTTTATAAAAAAATTAAGATGCAGTGTGTAATAATTAATGCTCACTGCAAATGCACTGAATGTATAATATGAACAGATATAGCCAACTCCTTTTGTATATTATACTAATTACTAATACATAACTTAATAATTGTAACTCGAGTACTGAAAATAGTGTTGCAAAAGTTTATGAATTAAACATATGAAAAAGATCTTGGTTAATATTGTGAAGTATTTACTTTTTTCAGCACTATCAACCGATATTTCGTCTAATAAGACAGGAGAGGCCTGAAAAACTGAAATATGCGGTTGGAATGATTGTAACTTCTCACAGGCATGTTGGAAATTGCACAGGCGTGATAATTTGGTGGGATGAAGACTATAGTTACGAAAAGCAGATACCTACCAGAATATCCAGAATTTTACAAGTTGTACAGAATATTAATTCTAATCCACTATTAGTGGACGCGGTTAGACCGCCATTCGTGTTTTCTCAGAAGCAACCGTTTTACACTGTCCTTTGTGAAGACGGTAATACGTATTATGTTCCACAAGGTATGAGCAAATTAATGGATACAAAGTATGATTATAATGTATACGCTTGTCTCATTTAGATGTGCGTACGTGATATGAAGGATTTTTTTTTCTTTTAGATGATTTAACAGAGGCAAATCCGCCAAAGCAGATTCAACACAAGGAGATTGGCCGATATTTTTGTAGATTTGCATTGTCTCACTATGTGCCTAACAGTGCACTAACGAGATATTTTCCACGTGACACAGCTATTCTCGATACGCTTCCTGTACCAACGTCTCCTCATAATGTTTAGTCTTTTCTACTAAGATAGTCTCGTGATTAGAAATTGTAAAGTGCGCTGCTTTCCACTGAACGAATAACTATATTTAAGACAACTGTTACAGTATCTAAGATATATTTAAGATAACTATTATAAATTAAGTAATAGTTAATTGTGATATTTTACAATTCATTGTAAGTGAGTTATGATATAAGAGTAAAACTCTGTGACTTGTCTGATGCATACTGCAAGGAAAACTCATACATATATCTCGTATATAAAATTTGTATGTAAATTCGGATTTTCTTACTCGTAGTACAGCTCTTATTCAGATGCATTGTGTATGATTACATATGTATTCAAATAGAGTATTGTTGGTTGTTTAAAAAGTAGAACTATGATAATAATAATTATAAAACAAGATTTTCTAGAGAAGGATTTGTACATATCTTTTTATAGAAAAAATGTGGACTTGTACATAAATATTTAATAATACATATATTTATAAATACATATATATTACAATACATACACGCCAAAGTTATTTTTATGATATTTAAGAAAAATAATCCTATTGCAACAGTGATGAAATTGCCATTAACTTACAATTGGATGTTATTTAATATTTTTCCTTTTATATTAAACAACAAAAAGTTGATAATTCTAACAAATTGGATTTATTTGATAAATTAATCCGCTCATTATGTTAGTCGGAGTTTTTAGTTGAGTTATTCTTATCGCGTGAAGTTAAAAGTCTTACGTTTGGAATGTATGCATTCTATCAAGATATCATCGATATATGAATACCGTCCTATGTCGTTTCCACAGTCACGAAGCATGAAGATATAGAAAGGCGTTACGCTTTTCAGACACGACGCCGTGCGTGCATATGTGTCACAGTATAACCA